GGGGGGGTGATGGGTATGTCGGACGCCTGGGTCGTGAGCGAGTAGGGAAGGTTGACGCTAGGTGTTGCGGTGTCGAGGAAATGGTGCGATGGGTGGACGAGCGTCGAGGTGGTGGTGGTGGTTTGCGACTCAGGTGGCCTGTGCGCCGGTGCGTGGTTTGGAGAGAGGAGCATTGGCGTGGTGTCTGAATGCTCTAGACTCGACTCTTTTATTTTGTTTTAATTTTCTGATGTTGAGCCGGGTGGAAGCACAACAGACAGATGACGGAGGTTTGGAAACTCTGCAAAAAAACCCATGCAGATGTTGTTGTAGGGCTGATGGACAGCAGCTGTCGAACCCGGCACAGCTGTATCGCAGGTTTAGCGTCGGTATTGCGTGGAACGACAAAGACCTAGTCTCATGGCTCTTGGTTAAACACTATGTCTCGCGTGGTCGAGAGTGGCGGACAGATACGAAGGCCAAGTGCATTGGTAAAACTCTCAATGGCGCTAGGGCGCATAGCGAAACTCTGGGTAAAAAGGCGGCTCTTGAGCTTTCCAAGGTACACACGTATAGACAAGCGACAGCTGGGCAGGATATGGGGAGCTTGATGGTTCCTCACTCAAAGCACAAGGGTAAATCGTAGGTTGTTGTTGTTGTCATGGTTGGTGATTAGGAAGCAACAAAAGACACCACGCTTGGCGAAATCCAACTCCTCCGTATTGGTCCACGCTAGGCGGTGAAGGACCGCCATAGCACATTGTCCGCCAAACCATAAAAGCGACTTAGTACGACTCTATCGTGATGATTGCTGTCGTCCGTGCAGACTTATCGCATTAGGAATAGAAGCTTCATCTGTTAAATGATCAGAAGGGCGAGACCAACTCCTAGTTTAGTGAACCCAAGTACCGTTGTAAAGCTTAGATCTGACTTCTCAAACACGACGCAAAGTGCGACTTGGGGCTTCCGGTCTGCGCAATCACTCGCATAGTCAAACAGCGCCCCTCAGGCTCACTGAGCCGGGAAGAATCGAGTGAAGCTGATCACGTCAAGTCCGCTACGACCACGGACATGTCAATTTCCGAAACTGTCACCACGATTGAAACGAGTCACCAAAAGCAAATCAATTTCCAAAGCTGTCACCACGATTGAAACAAAAAGGCACCAAAAGTAAATCAATTTTATTTGCCCCCAGCAGTTGCTTTTGTAAATGCTGATAGCCCGCCCAGCCCCGACCTTTGTTGGTAGTCGTCACCGGAGCCTCCGCTCAGAAGGCGACGCGCAAAGCTAATCGCCCTTCTGGCATTGGCGCCGTTGTTGCTCTCAAATCCAAGCTCCGCCCGAAGGCAGAGCCCTGCCCGCGAAGGCAAAAGAAGAGAGAGCGGATGAAGAAGAAAAGAAGCCGTCGAGGGCGGAGAGGAGAGGGGTATTTAAGCAGCCAGCTGGCGGCAGTGTGAACAGCAGCCACGGGGCCAACCTCGCCGCGCTAAACCAAAAGTGGAGCGGGCAGGCACAAAAACTACGTTCTGGGAAGGCGCGGTGGGTGGGTGCCTGCCCGGGTTGGACTTGCAGTCACCCGCAGTCACCTTGGTGGGTGAGAGTTGAGCCGTATGGATCTTCACCACGAAACCAGAGACGCGTTACCTGAAGTCAGATGTGAAGGAGGATCTGTTCAAGCACTGCGCAATGGACACGGTTTGCGCCCGCGAACGCTCATGAGGCCACGACATGCTTGATAACCTCTCGCGCTTCGGGACATATGTGATTCCACCGTTGCGACGCGAAACCAAGGGCTCCAGTTTCTCCTGTCAACAAGTCTTCATTCAACTTCTCCTGCTAAGCTCAACCTACGTATCTCGGCTTTGTACCATGGCTCACCCTTAAGCGACCAAAGAACTCCGTGGCCCGGCCGCCTCTTTTTAGCCCACATTGACTTGCCCGTCGTTAAGCACTCGGGGAGAATCTGGCGTTTGTGGACTGTTGGAGCTCGGCATCGTTTTGACGGGGTGATAATCATCATGTTTCGTACTTGCTGCCCCTCCGTAACATTAAAAGAAACATCACTGTCCGTCACCATTGCAATATCTTGATAGCCTACAAGCTACCGGTACCTTTGGCATAGCGGAACGAAGTAAATACTGACCGATCGACATGTAGTTCCGGGTGGTTAAGGTCGTTTGAAGAAGTTCACTTGGATATCCACGGAGCGTTGACCAGCCATCAGCTCCACTATGCCCTATTTTAAAAAGAGCCCGAGCCGCATCCTCACAGCCGGTCACCAGGGACTTCGAAGCAGAAAATCACCTGCCACATTTCTCAGGGCAGACGTGCCTTAAAAGCACCGTATCCGTGGATTATCGGGGCCCAGTATCGTTCGAAATTATCCGGGTTCTGCCGAGACTATAACAAAATCAATCACTGCCCGCGTCGCGGACGGTCGTTAGCTGCGGGAGAGTGCGGTGCTGTCATCGTCGTCATCATTTTATAAATCCCCGCTTCACCGAGAAATATCGAGGGCAAGCACATCCAGTCTCATGCGGCCGCTCAGCACCGACCGAGACCGCCGAGCTCCACCACCAAATAGCGCAAACACGCAGTCCACTGACTGCTCGGGTCTCTTTCCAGAGACCCCGTAGAGGGTGTGAGTGTAAAAGGAAGGGCGAAAGTGCGACGTCTCCTACCTAGTGTAGTGGCTAGCTAGTGAGCTTGGGCATATCAACCTTCGCCTTCACTGCGGTGACATGAGGAGCTCGATGGGAGTGCGAAGCTCCCGCATCTTTCATTGTCTTGTTTTTTATATCTTCTCTCAAGACCGCACAAAGTACCCAGAAACACGAGGAACGAGTCCGCTCACTCATCGCTTGACCCCCCGGGTGCGCCGCGCCGAGCCTGTCCGTGAGAAATCAGTTACCCTTTACGGCCAGCACCGAGTGGAAACTCGGGCCGACGCGCTGACCAGTCATCAGGGCAGCCAGCCAAGGCCGACTGTCAGCCATGCATGCGAAACCCTCAATGCAGATTGAGACCCCCGTCTCAACTCGAAACGTGGTGAAGCAAATAGGACAAGCGGGGTTGACGCACAAAAGCACAAACTGTATGTACGACGATAAGCAAAGAGAGCATCAAAGGGTATCATCATTCAGCTGAGTAGAAATGTGTAAGAGTCTCAATCACTTCCAGAATCCTTCGGGTAATCCGAGCAAATATCTTTTTCTTTTCCTTCGTGTCGCAGATCCCCCGCCTCACACCGGCGGTGCTGCTGCCTTGTCGCCTTTGCGACACCATGTCCGACCCACAGCCCTTGGCAATGGATGGGGAGGGAAAGTTGACTCAGGATGAGTAAGCGGTACCAAAATCCTGTCGGTTGCTGCTCACCACACCTGCTCATCGTATCCTCCCAAAGCCGACTGGGTGGGTCGAACAGGGCGAACACAACAGCGCAGGCATCCCGTGCAGCCTGGCCATCTAAGCCTCCCTCAGTGCCGCCTGGGCGTTCCTGGCGCCCTGGACGGCCAGCTCGTCAGCCGCGATGTTGCCGGGGTCGTCGGCGTGGCCCTTGAGCCAGGTGAAGATGGTCTTGGAGCCGAGCTTCTCGCGCTCCTCGATGCGGGCGATGATGGTCTCGACGAGGTCCTTGTTCTCGACCGGCTTCTTGGACGCCGTCACCCAGTTGTTCTTGCGCCAGTTCACAAACCACACCGTCACGCAGTTGATCGAGTAGTTGCTGTCGCTGAATATTGTCACGTCGCGCTGGAGAGGCGTTATGTCGAGCGCACGCTGGATTGCCGTAAGCTCTGCACGTTGATTGGTCTGGCGCGGGCCGGCGAGCCCTTCAGACACGTTTCTGCAGAACTGTCAGTCCGTCCTGGTGTTTTGCAACCACGGAGCTGAATTACATACCTCTTGTCCAGAGGCCCAAAAAAGACGCCTACACCAGCGACAGAGCCCTTTTTGCCATTACCCAACGAGCTGCCGTCCGTGTAGATCCTGAGCATGCCGCCCTTGGACTCGCCGGTGGGCATCTTCTTGGTCGCCGCCAGCTGCTCTTCGGTCTTCCACTCGACCTTTCCTGTCTCGGGATTTAGTATCACACGCGGATCAAAACCATCCTCGGCGCCCTCTGGAAGAGAGCCGGTGCCGGGCTCCGACGGACCTGAATTTGTTGCTGCCGACTCCTCCGCCGCCGCAGACTTTTTCTGCCTCTTGGCCGGCGGCTCCGACTTCTTCCCGACCGTCGTGTCCGACTGAGCGTCTGGTTCGACGGCGACATTGGAGACGGACTCGCCAACCTTCTTGCCTGCCTTCACGAAGGCCTCGGCCTCGGCGCGCGTGGGGAACGCCTTGTACTTGGGGCGCGTCCAGCCCGTTGTTTGTTTTTGCGCCGAAGGCCAGTCCGTGTAGACGCCGGGGACGCGGCCGCTCTGTACGGCGTAGAACTTTTCGGGGTTGTCGTTTGAAGCGGTGCCGGAAACGAAAGCTTCTGCTTCGGCAGCGCTGGGGAAGGACTTGTCTGTGGCGCTCAAAAATCGAACCAGTGAGCAGGCAATCGTAGGCAGGTATGCGACAGAAGAAAACACGCGCAGACGTACATATTGCACCCTTGAATCCCTTGACCTGATCCAGACAGTCATTCCAGTTTGCGTATACACCCGGCTTGCGGCCATCCTTGACTGCGTAAAACTTTGGCTCGTTTCCTCGTTTCCTCTTGGACGAGGCATTGCTCGTCGTCGCGTTCGAGCGCTCCTCGTCCACGGCGGGCGACACCTTGTCCTTGGCCATTTTGATGCGATACTCGAGATTGAGCCTGATTTTCGGGTTCCGCCGCTGGGCTGCGCGTGCTTGCTCGAGGATTTTGAGGGTGTTCTGGAGCGCGCGGTCGTTTCCAAGGCCGCCTAGGAGCTGCTCGATGGTGCGCCTCGGTGGCAGGACCCTCAAGGCGAGGCGAAGAAGCAAAACGGCGGTAGCTTCGACGGTGGCGATCGGCGACTGACTAGGCGAGTAGGTGCGACGCGTGCACAACGCGTGTAAGAATTTCTTCGCGTCTAGAGAGGCCTCAACTCCGTCAATGCAGAGTTTGGTGGCGGGGTGTTGGGGATGTTTGGTGTGTGTGGAGCAAGGTAGTGGGGTTCACATTGCTGGCAACTACGAAAGCGCTTTGTGGAGAGGGCTGTTTGGCGACCTTTGTCGTCGCCGGAAACATGCTGGAGGTCCTTCCAAGTTTTTGCCCCACAGTAGCTTGGACCCTGGGCTTGGGTGTGCCTGGCCCATCAGCACGAGGAAGCAGCTAAGGCAGCAAGGCACTACTGAGGCACCGCGACCAGCCGGAGCAAGCTGGACATTGTCGCGGAGGGCCGAGGTGGTGCTGGCTTGGCACGAATACAGTCCGCGTGCGATGCTGCGATGCTGGCTGGAGCGGTGGCCGTCGATCCATTTCGCCGGGCGAGCCTCTCCAACGCTCCTCCTACAACTTCGACCATCTCCCCGTGTCCTCTGGAATGCCTTGAGAGCGTTCCTGACGCTGCCTCTGCGCCCAAGGTACGCCCCTTCCGTCTCAGCGCGTCCGCCCGCCACCTCCGCGTTCCGCACCAACGCACCGTGACGCGAGCGATCGACTCGTGGCCCGCCGCTCCGCTGCCCCCGCTGGCCTTGGCATATTGCGAGGCCCGCAGCGCTCAAGGGCTGTCCGCAGTCCGCACACACAGGGGATTCATGCTGTGCGCCTGAACAAAGCAGTCAGCCACGATACCGAGCACCAAGCGAAAGATGGCGGGCGGCGGAGACCATGACGTCCGGTGTGGAGAAGCTGACTGACTGTGTATCGCGACTCTAGCCTGAGAACAAGTCATAGTCACGGCACCGCAGCAGCACGGGCCTGCTCTACGTGAAACTCGCACGAGAGGCCCGCCCGTTGAGCAGCGGCGCTTCTCCACCGACGTTTGACAGACGACGCCCCAACACCACAAATAGCCGCCATGTTCGAGGTATGCCCGCCCGCTCCGACCAAGACCGAAGGCGTCGGAGCGCTCATGTTCCCAGGGCCGCCATGCAGCAGACAGATACCACCTGCGCCTACATCGCGCGCGCTCCGTCGTCCTGACGCCCGACGAGCTCGTCGAGATCCGCGCAGCGCAGAGGACCTTCGAGGGCGCTTACATCCGCACCGCCCTTGGCCAGTTCTCATTCGCGCTGGTCGTGCTCAAGATCTTCACCGCCGAGTTCTACTCCATCGGCGCCCTGTTTGCCGTGTACGGGGCCGGGGTGCTGTTCACCAGCCTGCTGCGGCGGCAGCACGGCAACAAGCAGTTCTTCAGCGAGGTGGGCGAGGACGGGCTGCATCGCAAGAAGTTTAGAACCAGCGGCAACGTCGTGTCGGTGCTGACGGCGCTGTCGGTGGCGGCGTACGCGTCGCTGCTGGTCCTGACGCTGAAGCTGTCGACGTGAGGCCCGAAGGGGAAAACTGGGGCGCCGAGCATGCTGAGGACGGACGGATTGCCATGTCTCAACCCTCAACAAACGCGGGACGGCTTGGCTCGGAGTCCCCCCCCACGACTCCGCGACGGGCTGCGGCCAGCGCTGACAGGAATCCATCACGGAGCATGCTTAAACGGGCGGGGGATCAGCCTGGCGGGCGTGCTATCAGGCGGCGCAGCGAAGTATGGACGACTAGACGAGGGCGTGGGCGGATGATTGGCCGCGGCGGCGCTGCGGCGCTGGCGGACGAGCTCCCAGCGCACAGCTGCTTTCGGCGTGTCGCAAGCATAACGGAAATGCCACGCTCGTTGCAGCACCGGCCCTCAGCTGTGTGCCGCCCCGTCTGAGCGCCCTGCGAGGCGGGCCGTCACGATAGAGTCAGTAGATATGTAAATCCCAGGTCGCTGCCTTGCTCGCTCAGCTCAATCGGACCCTGACCCTCTCCACTACCAACCAGTGCACGCAGCCACCCTTCCGTCACTGCCACCTGCGTCGTCGCCCACTGCACCACCTGCCCGCCGACGCACGCCGCCGACGCACCAAAAAAAAATTTCTTTTCCCCTTCCCGCTCTTGTTCTTAAGCTGCACCGACCCGGCCTTGCGCCGCGCCCGCCAAAGCAGCCAAACAGCACACACTGCGCACCCGGCCGAAGCCAGCGCAGCCAGCTCAGCCTTACCGACACGCCACCCGCCGAGCTCTGCGTGACTCGCACCTGCGCATCCTTGCACGATGCCGCTAATCACCGATATATCTGATCACCATCTCCCTCGTCCTTCGTGCACCACCGACCCTCCCCCCATTGCTAGCAAGCTCCTGCGCAAGCAGTCAACCCACAGCGACGTCGCCCGGTCCGTTCTGATGAATAACACCATCCCGCCCTACCGACTCGACGGCAGCTCGCACCCTCCAGACCAGCGCCCGCCGTCCCGCCAGCTACCGGTCCGTCCGCCGCCGCAGACGCAAAGCCCGCGCATCTATGCCAACCCCACCAGTCGTGCCCCTGGCATCCACGACGCCCACGATGGGGAGCTGAGGTTGCCGCCGAGCGCCGCCGCCCACCAGCTTCACCATGCCTTTGCCACCAACGGCGTCGGCCATGCCTTGTCCGACACGCCCATGCCCACTGCCCCGAGCAGCCCCCGGATGTAAGTGCTGCGCTCCTGACAGGACCGATCGTCCTATCATGTCCACAATTACATCAAATGGTACGACGTCACAGCCCGCGCCCAATGGCTGGTGGCTGGAGATCATCCGTACCCACATTTACGCTCGGTCCGATTTCGCTGCACCGCGCGCCCTTATCAAATATATCATTTTCAGCGCCTGCTTCCTGCTTGAGACCCTGCAACACTCTAACAATGGACAGTCCGCCAATCCGCCAGAACTCCGTCTCTGGAAGTTCCACCCCGCGCATCCGCCCCACCACCCTCGACATCCCCGGCCTGACCAAATCCAAAGTTTCTCCTGATGGCCGCATCGCTCAGCGCGACCTGGGCGCGAAGCTGCTCATTGTCATGGTCGGCCTGCCCGCCCGTGGCAAGAGTTACATCACAAAGAAGATGGCCCGCTACTTGAACTGGCTGCAGCACGAGGCGCGCATCTTCAACGTCGGCGAGCGCCGCCGCATCGCTGCTGGAGGCGGAGGTACCCACAACCCAGCGCCGTCGCCCGGCGTCGAGAAGCGCCCGTTGGACTCGGTGCGGAGACAGAGCATCACGACAACAGCGCCGCAGGGTGCCATTGATCAGAAGCAGCTGCTGGACCCGCCGCACTTGGCCGCGAAAATTTTCGTCAACGGCGAAGCTGTGACTCAGCCGGAGAAGCCGGCGGAAATGAAGGAACCGTCCAAGGAAGAGAAGGACCAGAGGTTTTTGGAGGCCGCCTTCCCTGAGTTGACCAAGGCTTCGACGCCCGAGGAGCTGCCCAGCACCGAGACGATGGACCAGGGCGCAAATTTCTTCGACCCCGGCAACCGCAAGGCCGCGCTTCTGCGTGAGCAGTGCGCTATGGAAACCCTGGACGAGGCTATGGATTATCTGATCGAAGGCACCGGTTCTGTCGCCATCATGGACGCTACCAACAGCACTCTGGAGCGCCGCGCTGCGATCATCCGCCGCGTCCGTGACAGGTGTGGCGACGAGCTCAACGTCATGTTCGTCGAGTCGCTCTGCAAGGATGAGCGCCTCCTCGAGTCGAACATGCGCTTGAAGCTCTCTGGCCCCGACTACAAGGACAAGGACCCCGTCGCTTCTCTGGTGGATTTCAAGAAGCGAGTGGCGATTTACGAAAAGGCCTACGTCCCGCTCGGAGATTACGAGGAGAGAAATAACACGGCCTACGTCCAGATGATCGATGTTGGCCGAAAGGTCATCTCGCATCAGATTCGAGGCTTCATTGCCGCGCAAGCCGTGTACTACCTCCTTAACTTCAACCTGGCCCCTCGCATGATTTGGATCACGAGACATGGAGAGTCGATGGACAACGTCGCGGGCAAGATCGGCGGTGACTCGGACCTCAGCCCCAATGGCCACCGCTACGGCAAAGCCGTCACAAGGTTCATCAACTACCACCGCGAGATTTGGCAACAGCACCAGCGTGAGAAGGTTCTCAATTCGCACTTCCCGCCCCTTCCTGGAGACATGTCGCCCCCGAACCCGTACTTCATGACGCACAATGACGTTCCGCAGAAGAGCTTTTGCGTTTGGACGTCGATGTTGAAGCGCGCCATCCAGACGGCCCAGTATTTCGACGAGGATGAGTTCGATCTCAAGCAAATGCGCATGTTGGACGAACTCAATGCCGGTTTCATGGAGGGCATGACGTACGAGGAGATCAGGGACAAGCACGCGGATGAGTTCCTTCTGCGCAAGAAGAACAAGCTGCATTACCGCTACCCTGGCCCTGGCGGCGAGGGTTACCTCGACATCATCAACCGCATTCGGCCGGTGATTGTTGAGCTCGAGCGCATGACTGACCACTGTCTGCTGGTCACTCACCGCAGCATCGCACGTGTCCTGCTCGCGTACTTCCTTGGCCTTGACCGCAAAACGGTGGCTGACATCGACTGCCCGCTCGGCATGCTGTACATGCTCGAGCCCAAGCCGTACGGCGTCGACTTCAAGGCGTACCAATACAACCCCTCTTCGGACTGGTTCGACCACCTGCCCGACTACAAGCCGCGGCCTACGGCCGACGACCATTAACGGGAAAGTCTGCTGGCTTTTCTTGACCCGGACCTTTTCATATTCGATTCACTGTTGTCGTTTTTGCTACTGCACGCAATCGGTGAACCAATTGCTTTTTTACGGCGGGTGGCTTGGTACATTCGTGGTTTCCTCCTTTCTCAACCTGTTTTTGCATACCAGGGCGTTTTTCTCATCTTTCTTTCCTACCTCGATCGGAACACTTTGGCCTCCACATCCTTGCAAAAAAAAGACGGCTTATTGCTAGACTGACGCTTGCTTGATCAATGGAGTTGAACCTCTCCTCATCCCTGTCTCGTTGATCTTTTTTCTTTACGGGCCTCTTGAAGTTCCTCTTCTCTTACGGGCCGTCTTGATATCTCAGCTGCGACCCGTGCGGCTCCTCTCTCTTCCCTCGTCGTCATCGTCTTCTTTCGTTTATTTGTAAGCTTTGCACTGGTGACGTCCGGCTCTTTGGTGCTGGTGGATTGTGGCATACGGTGGGGCGTTTACTCTCTCCCATTGCGATTATCGTGGTTGTCCTTTTTTTTTCTTTCTTCCTTTCGCGATGTCGTTTCTTGTTTTCTTCGAAGCAACGGCGCTGGCGGATTTTTTTTTTCTTTGGTGAGGTTCAGCGCGGCGACATGAAGAAACGTACAACTTACCCTCTCTTCTTCTTGTCGCTCTCAAAATGGTGGTGGTTGAGTTCGGTAGATGATGGTTTGTACGGGTGGTTTTGTCTGCGTGTGGTGTCCGTTTCGGTTGCTGTTGTTTTGTCGGTAGGGAAAGAGAGGATGAGGGTGATGATGGTGTTTGTGATTCAGCACCGACCGGACCGGATCGGATCAGACCCTTACCTCGGTGCGGTGGAAAAAGCGTTGAGCAGAGCGATGAAAACAGAAGAAAAAACGAGATTGTTCTTAAATGTCGTGACTGTGTTTCTCACTGTCGGTGCTGCTGTCATTCGTCTGCGTGTTTGCGTCATTACTGGATTGGGAATGGGATGTTTCGTTTTTTCTCTTTCCTCTTTTCTCTTCATCCTCGCCGCTGTTGTCTTGCCGCCGTTGCTTCCTGCTTTTGCTTTCTCTCTTTTCTCTCTCGGTCGTTGTCCGCCTTGCTTCTTGATTTCCTCCGTTTGTTTTGGATCTGGACTGTTGTGCTTTAACGACTCCCTTTGCTTGGCTGCTCGACTGTTATACGTAGTCAGGATCCTCATCGTCTTCTTCCGTTCAGAGAGGTAGACCAGGATAGAAGGAAGGGGAGAGGTAGCGTCGGTTCTTCTTCTTCTTGCACTTGATGAAAAGAGAGAAATTCGGTAGAGCTAGAATTTTTTGAGAAGCAAGGAAGTCCGAAAGTAGAACAACGGGAAGGGAAAGAAAATGAAGTATTAGAATGCGAATTGTTTGTGTACGTGTGTTTCGTGAATGCTGTCTTGAAGGGCAGGGGGGTGGGCGGTTTGAATTAAAGAGTGTGTGCGTATATATATGTATCGCGAGGCCGCGTATCTTGGAAAGAGTAAGCAGATCCTTGGCTGGGCAATGATGGGCACTAAACCTCTCTCTCATATAGGGTTTGTAACATCGTCGTGTGGCTTTGCTTTTCCAAACACAACCATCCCGCACCCGGGCAACTCTTGCCTAATCAGCCGGCCTTTCCGAACGGATTACGCGCTTTGGCGAACAGGGCCACACACGCCTTTTACCCGAGAAGGTCAGAAGAGACGCATCGTCCTGCCGACTCCATCACGTCACGTCACGTCACGTCATATACTCCTTCTCTGGTTGCGGCCGTCGGAGCCATCTTCTTCATCAGACTGCCATTCATCCCGCGCTCCCGCTCGCCCACGGTCATATATATATATAAAGCGTTGCTTGACATAGTCCTCCCTCAAGCTTGTCTTCTCCACCTTGCAACACAAACGAGAGCCGTGTCGGAGACACAAGAGATTCACTATGGCGGACTTCCTTGTTTCTTGTGGAGTGTGTCTGGGGTAGGTAGCGGTTCGGCTGTGGAAGGGCAAAGAGAAGAAGGAGGCGGGGAGGGAAGGAAACAAGTTTGAATCTACCATCCATGGCGCATGTTCTGCATACGTCTCCGCTGTGAATGGTGATGGCCCAAGATGGGAGGGGTGAGGGTGCTTGGGGCGTTGCGTAGCAGCCAAATTCTCAAGGATTTAAAGGTGCGGAGACGGTCGTTCGCAATACTCCCGGCATCCAGTTATGGACGTGAAAATTGGGACAAGTACAACTACAAAACGAAGCTTGTTCCGACACTGGGCTCGGGAGGGGGCTCTGGGTGAACTGAGGTTATTCAGTGGTTTTCCTTCTTCTCTAGTTCGATTATACACTCAATATCCGTAAATATGCAGCACTGGGTGTTGATCACATCGTTCGTGAAAGATGGTGACGCTTATTAACATTGATTAATGGTACTTCGCATCTTCCCTGAGATGGCACATCTTTAAGCATAACTATCGTGGGAACTGTATGGCACATTTGGAAGTGATTAGCAAACGTAGCAGTACGCATAGATGGTGACGTGTGCGGAACACATTCGCAAAAAGGGTTTGGGAAAAGTCTCAAGGAAGAGACCAGTCAAAGAAAAGAGTGACATATTCTCGAGAACACCCAACTGTGCTATTGAGGTCGATGGAGGAAATGAGAAGCAAAGCATCTGCGTTAGATGATAGCAGTGTGATGTTTAAATATATATCGTGATAGAGGTCACCTCGGTGCTGCACTGAATTGGGGCTCGCACCTGGCGTTTTCCCTGAAGTCATACGATGATACTCATGGAAGCAAACGGAATCAAATCCACCCTTTGAAAGATGAGACAGCCCAATGTCCGAACATCAGCAGCAGGTCATCGTACGAACTTCGGGTTCAAAGAGTTCCATACTCATCATCGCCTGCCTGCCTCCCCGCCCCGTCATCACCATTTCCACCTACCACCAATCTTCATCATCACCGCAAACGACCGCCCCAGTCCTGTAACTCAAACAACACTCAAGGCATTCCTCTCCAACACCCACTCTCGCGGGACAAGCAGTGCTGATAATGGCCCACGAACCTCATTCCAGAACGTTCCGCAAAGTCCAGTCCAGACCACCAACAATGCAGACATTCCTCCAGGCAAGCACGCCCAGAAGTTCCAGAACCCCTGAGCAGGGTCCAGTCCAGTCCTTCGAAAAGACCCAGACCGCAGTTCTGTCTCACACATCGCCTTCCCAAGACAAAGAAAAGAAGAGCGGGAGGGGCCCGGCGCGAAGAGATCCAACACCAGCGCAGTCCCAAAACAACAACAGGCAAGCAAGCGCGCAACGAAGGCGCGGGAGGTGGAGGCGGCACAAACTTCCGCGCGGGCCAATCCGCATGCTACAGCAGCTTCCACGAGCTGGATTCGAACGTCGGCGGCAGGAGCGCCTCTCTTGCCGAACGTACATACATCATCGATGGAGCGAGTCTGCAAGTGAGACGAAACGCGTTTACTACTGAAGCGCCACCCTCGCTGGTTTTTTTTCTTCTCCCCTTTGTGCACGCCGAAGCTGCATGGTTCTCGAAGGTTGGGCTCGCGGGGGCGGGGCGAAAAGCGAGACAGTATTAAAGGTGCCATGGGCTGAGACAAGCTGTAAGGTAAGACAACGGTGAAGAAAATCGGTAGCGTGGAGGCGGACCGCGGTATGCTGAATGGAGAGTCTGAGCAAGAAATGATCAGAAAAGTGACCACCATAGCAGAGGAAGTGATCTGATGTTTTGTGTCTTTGTTCGGTGTTCGCTCGCCTCCCTCTTCTCACTTCGGCATTGAACATTTGCCGGGTGATCCCGTCATTTCTCTGAAGGGAGAGGAAGGAACGACGGTCGTTTGCGGGTAAACTTCTTTCTGACCGTAGTGCTGGGCTTCAGTGATGGCGGCGTGGAGGGGAAAGACGGTGAACACGAGGACCAGATCCGGCCAGGCCAGGTCCCTCGCAAGTCCATGTGTCTACTCTGCTTTCTCTATACTGTCTGGTATCTGCTTCCCTGATGCGGATGTGCAGCTTTGGTGAAGGACTTGCGTCGAACACATAATCTCTCCCCCCATCTCCGATCCGGGAAGCCAGCGAGGATGAAGTTCCCTTCGTCTTGTCGACCGCCGCAAGGAGCAATACATGTCCGGCACTACCGAGCTCTTGAGCACCATTGATCAGTAATGTCGACGTCGGGGTAACGGCAGCAGTTTTCGCCCCGGAGTCAGCATCGAGGTCTATTGCGGCTCAGAGTTTGAGCTAAGGGCGGAGGCAAGGGCCTCCCTTGGCTCCATCTTTTCTTCGAACGGGTCCGCATGACAGCATAACTACTTCGCCGGAGCTCGCGACATGCAGGGACGAGAAACAAGAAAACGGGTAAAGAGTCCCGATGCCAACAAGCATTAACCTCAGCCTTGATGGCCAACGGAAATTTTTCCAAGCCATGTCCTCGTGATCGCCTGACTTTGTCCAAGCGAGAGATTGATTTTGTTTTTTGTTTCTTCATCATCAACACTGCACAACCAGAGAGGAAGGTAAAGAGTGCCACTATGGAAACGAGGGGTAATAGTGAGACACTCAGGCCGTCGTGCAGGAGGAAGGGTGTTGCGTTCCGGCATCCGGTCCGAGATGGGCGACGGTGCGAGTAACATGGGCCAGATGTATAAATTGATACGGCACGGACATCCGCTACGTGCATATGACTTCTGTGGTTCGATGGCATGAGACGTGAAGAAAGACGTGCGGGATATGTTTCAGCTCTTAGTCAGGAAAATTGGCCATGTCAAGGGGAATCAGAAACATTCGGTGCAGCGGGCGTCGGACCGAAGACCTGGCCCGACATCCCCGATGGAGACGGGTGGCGACGACCCTTTGGTGTTGTTCCCAATCGGGTGATCTTGCAACAGCTGTCGTACGAAGACGGACTGTCCATGGATGGGGAATGGAAACCTGGTGGGAAGGGGTTGAACATCTAAGTGCTATACACTGTATCTATATTCCCGAGACTGAACAGACCTATAAACAGCGGGACCAAGCACCATTGGCATCGTGAACGACAGTGTATGGAGCAGGATAATGCGAGTCAAGTAGATACAATTGTGTTACCTTGCGCAAACATCCAAAGCAGGAAGAAAAAGGACAGTAATAACCACACGAAACCAGCGCAAACACCGGCGAAAAAAAACCCCCCCCCCCTCTTCTCCCACCCCCATCTAATCCAGCCAGCCAGATCGTCGACCGTCACCTTCGAACCCCCTCCAGCTCTTCTTTCGGCCCGATCCTACTTCCCGTTCCTGAACTGGCCCCAAAGCTGCTTCATCCTCGCCTCCTGCCCCGGCGTAAACTCCTCATAGCACTCATCCCACCCGTAGTCCATATAGTTGTGGATGGGATCCTGGCCGGGCTTATCCGGGCACGAGTCCTTGCTCGCCGGACAGCCCGTCGTCTGCTCCTTCTCGGCGGGCGTGTCGGCGATCAGGTCGCCGTCGCCGTCGCACGACTCGCCGTTGAACGTGTGGAACAAGCCCAACCAATGGCCCGTCTCGTGCACGGCCGTCATGCCGAGGTTGAACTTTGTGCGGCCGCCGCCGGGCATGGTGTCGGCGACGACGACGCAGCCGTCGCCGCTGTAGGTGGCGGGCGTGGGGTTGGAGCCGATGCTGGTCGGCATGCTGCACGTGCCCAGGCCGGCGTAGTCGGACGCGAAGTAGATGTTGAGCGCGCGGTAGGGCCCCTTGCGCAGCGCCTTCTTCATCGCCGCCGAGTTCTGGTCGTCGCCCTTGGCCCACGCCGGGTTGACCGTGAGCTCCGACCCTTTGAGGGTGAAGCTGATGCCGTGCTTGTTGTACGCCGTGTTCATGACGGCCATCTGGTCCGTCGCCATCTTCTGCCAGTTGGCGTATCGCGGGTCGTTGGCCTTGGACACGACGATGTGGAAGTAGGCGTCGACCGCGATGGCCGCGTTCTGCCGCGTCAGCAGCGCCGCGTGCGCCGCCCCCGAGCCGCCGCCTTTGACGCCGTGGTAGAGGTCGTGGTGGGCCTTGATGATCTCGTCGTGGGCTTCGGCGGAGCAGTTGGCGCGCATCTGCTGCTCCTGCCCGAGGGCCAGGGCGCTCAGGGAGAAGAGGAGGAGGAGCCGCTTGAGCATGTTGGGTGCTGTTTGCTGGGACCGTGTGTTGTTTCGATTCTGGATTGCTGAATATAACAAACAAGTGAGAGTGCGGATAGCCGAGAGATGCTCTGCGCTGCTGAGTGCCGATGCTGGGATTCTTGAGGCCCATGACGGCCATATTTATCCCATCTCTTGCCGTGTTCTGGATTCCCTGCCATGTGGAGGCCATCGGGCGGATATGATAGTTGCTTCTCTAGAACGCGGCCGCGGCGCACTCTGGAGCCCATCGAGATGATGATGCAAACGGTAGCTTCTCGGCGTGTCACCCTGCGACAAAGGGGCTTCATATCGTCTGTCGCGTGGGTGAGGCTTCTAGTCCGGCCCGGGTGAGACCTAGGGCTCGCGACTCGGTGCCTAGAACTTCTTCACCTTCAGCAACGGCGGGTCGAGAAGAATAAATGGTTCATCATTGAGAAAACTTGAGACGTCTAGAAGAAAAAGCCAAGATCGCCTACGCGGTATACACGATCTTCATGCCCCGTGCCCCGAACGCCAAGCCCCACGATCGCGAATCAATCAAAGAATCGGCGCAGAAAAAAACATGCTGGTTGGACTCATCAGGCTTCACCGGGTCTCATGCTTCGGCCGGTCGCAGTTGCCGAGCTGGCGCCCTCGTTATTCCACGTCAAGTATGTGTGATCGCCAAGTTTCCTGTACGTCCATGTCAGCAAGCTTGCCCAAGGCATTGTCGGTAGCGCGCCATCTTACCTCGGCTTGATCAGATGCGTCGCCGTGAAGAGTGTTCCTAGCACGATGCAGATGCCACCAACGACGACATAGGCAATGCCCAGGAAGGGATTCTTGCCGCCCATGACGGTGCGGGTTGAGATCAGAATGGCCTTGGTGCCACCGTAAGCGGTGACGTTGAAGTCTGCCCAACGTTAGCGGCCGGGATTGCGCGACACCAATTGCAAACTTACTGTCATCGATGTCGATCTGGTACCGGGCGACGGTCATGCTTTCGTCGTCGTTCCGCATTGCCAACTTGCTGAAGGTAGGAAGACCGGCCGTCCGCATCCAGACCATGAAACCCTCGTCCTGCGAGAGATCGGGAACCGGAGTGTCGTCGTTGTAGCCATTCGGGTAACGGACCTTCCAGTTGGGCGGCGGCGCGACCTGGTCATTGGTGTAGGCCGTCTTCTTGAACAGTTCCTTGTCGCTGTCCCAGGCGATGCCCTTGTTCGACATGTTGTAGTAGTCGCTCTCTCCACTCGCAGGGTTAAGGCGCTTCAACTGCGAGAAGGTATCGTTGAAGACCGAGTTTGCAATGAGGCCGCACGGGTAATACGCCTTCCCCTTGCTGTCCAGCGTCAGCGGATCGCAGTCGCTGGCCGAGATGGACGAGTTGCTGCGGAAAGTGCCTTGTAGCTGCGACGGATCCTCGGACTTGACGTAGCGACGGTGGTTCTGGTAGAAGTTGGTGAGGCGGTAGTACAGGAGCACAGGCGGGCCAATCTCGTTCTCGATTTCGAACTGAAGGGAGCAGACGGTCGTGTTGTGGGGGTTCTCCGGGTCATAGCTGGTGTTCCGGAAGCTGTGCGCCCACGACGGGGCCAGCGCGCTCGGGTTGCTGGCCTTGAAATAGCTCGACACACGGTCCGTCGGCACATCGTCGAAGGTACTGGCGGACGGCGGGAAAGTGACATTGGACGAATCAACGGGCGACTGGTTCACGCAGTCTGTGTAATCGATGGAGATTTCCTCGACCTAGACACGGTCTTCGTCAGCACCCGGCACGCGACACGGCGGCCTTGCAGAGGTCACGAACCATGGCGCTCGCCCATATCAGCAGCCCGCCGATTGGCGCGAATATGATGCCGACGGCGAAGAAGAGGGGAAGCACAGTCTTCGGGGTGAGGATGGGTCTGCGGGCAGTCAGCGGAGGCGGCTTGCGGCTTGCGGCTTGCGGCAGCGGGCGGGAGCAACGTACTGCCAGGCCTTGAGACGCTGCTGGCGGAAGGCGGTGTCTGCGCGGCGGAGGAATCGTTAGTCACGGCGCGCGCTGGCAGGCACGGCGTGGGCATCGTACTGGCGGGTCTCCTGCTCTTTGTCTTCTTGGTGTCGGCGGCATCGTTCTCATTGCTGCTGATGGAGTCGGTATGCTGCATTTCGGTCTGCGACATGGTGCGCGAGGGGGCTCCTGTAGCCAAGGAGCATCCGATGGGCGCAGAGAGTCGGCTGGTGGGCGGCAAGGTGTTTGTTGAAGGCGTGTATGGAGGCGCGGGCGATGATGGCAGGTCGGTCGCTATTCTAGGAGGCCTTGGCGGGCCTGACGCCTCAGCCCCCCAGCATCCGCCGCCTCCGATCGTCGCCGCCGCAGCAGCGCCAACCAACCGTCCACCCCAACTGTCGCCCCAATCCCGCAGCAAGCCACTGCCAATCGTCGCATTGTGCTGCCGCTACCATTTGGAATCACCAGTCAACCCACAACCGTTGCCGACATCCGATCTCCGTCTCCATCTCAGCGTCTCGGGGGGTGCAGAAAGAAATTGACTCACGGCGATTCTTTGCATGCGCAGTCGAACCAGATGGATGTACGGAGTAGGTGGGTTCCATGTCTTTCCGCACGCTGTGTCACCGACACCATCATTGTTAGTTCTGCGCTTCAGCCGCTGCCTTGATATGCACGATTGGCTTCCAACGTTGCGCACTACAACAGTGTATGCTTTAACCCAGAAGCAATGCTAAATCGACAGACATTTCTTCCCGCCATGTGTATATCAGAGTCCATCTCTTCCCTTGTTGCTGCCTCCGAACATGCCCTCTTGCTCAATTCCTCCTGACTAATCCCGCAAAAACGCTCCCGCGCTTATATCTTCCCTTCCGTACATTACTCCCCTGTTGCTCGACAACCTCCCCGTCGCGCTCCATCGAGAACAGCAAGTCTGCTTCGCCCAAAGTCCTCATAGAATCAACCTTGAGCACTCCATCCCCCATCTACGCAACCCCCTCCTCCCCCCCTCCTCCACCCTCTCTCTCATCTCAACACCTACCCCCCCAAGACCGCCGCCCTCTCCCTCTCCCTCCCCGTCCTCCTCTCCCTCCCCCTCCTCCCCTTCAACCGCCCGCCTCCTCCTCCCCCGCCTCCTCCCCCCCCCCCCCACCCCGGCCAACACCACATGCACCGGCGGCCAACTACAACAAACATCCCTCCGCTCCGGCCTACCGCGCCCACACGCCGCGCACAGCCGCAGCCACTGCGCGCTACTGGCAGCATCCGCCCCCGCGACCGCCACCGCACGGCACGACGACGTCGTCGAGCCTAGTGCAGCGGTAGTAGTAGCACCAGTAGCACCAGCAGCACCGCCGCCGCCGCCGCCGCCGCTCATCTTCCGCCTCCGCTGCGGGTCCGGCGTGTCCGAGCTCGATGACGTGAGGGCCATTGCGCCGGGCATGGGGAGGAAGGGCATGAAGCGTTCTTGGGGGATGAGGTGGTGGCGGTGGTGGTGGAGGCCGGTGGTGGTGGTGCTGCTGGTGATGGTTGTGTTGCTGCTGGTGATGTTGGTGGTGGGCGAGGAGGAGGAGGATGAGGAGGAGGATGACGGCGACGGTGATGGTGACGACGGAGACGACGGCGGCGGAGGTAGCGTCGAGGATGGTGCGGGGCGGCTGCGGCTGCAGTTGGGGTTTGGGTGCAGAGGTGGTGGTGGTGGGGAAGCAGCAGGGGCAGGCGGTGCGGCGGCGGCGGCGGCTGGCGTTGTCGCAGACGTCGGGGAGGGAGGGAGAGGAGGGGCGGCAGTAGCAAAAGCGGCGGCGATGGCGTTGGCGCGCGTTCGGGGTGGAGGTGAAGGCTGTGCTGGCGGGGGCGGCGGCGGCAGAGATTGCGGCAGAGTCGACGACGACGACGACGGCGGCGGCGGCAACGGTGATAAACATGGGACCAGAGGAGATGTCGTGGCAGGTATTGCTGCTCCTTCGGACGATGCTGCCACCGCCGCCACCTTGTTCGATACTGATGATGACGACTGTGTATGCGACGGCGTGCGGTTGAGATGTTGAGGTGATGGCTGTGAGCCGGAGAGGAGCGCGGTCATTTCAAGCTTCGTCGACGTCGCCGTCGCGAACGCTCTGAGTGGAGGCAGCTGCAGAGAAGCCAGCCTGCGACGGTGAGTCGACTGCTGATGGTAGTGCGGTCCGCTGGCCATGGATCCTATCGTGGCATCGCCGGCGCGGTGTGCTTGCGCGACGCACATTGTTTTTTGGTGTGCGGCGGAGAGAGTGATGGCGATGATGATGATGAACTAACTACGATGCTTCTCAGCTGGTTGTGCGTGGAGACGACATACTGATGGCCGAAATATATCACAGACGAACACTGTCTCCGATCTATAGGCATGTCTAGGCAGCGTTCGCTGTTTGTTATGCAGAGCGGTAGATCACGGTTCAAAATGATGTCAATGAATGAATGTCTAAGATCGATTTCCTACTGCCGCCTATGGGCGTTCAAAGTGCTGTCTTTGATGACCCCCAATCAATCTTCGCTAACCCATCCCGAACGCTGGTTGAGGCCGGAATCAATGAAACAAGACGAGCTACATGCTGGGTGCTGCTACTGTATGAGTAGTGGGGGTATCAGAGTGTAAGTGCCGATGACGATGATGGAGTGCGCCGGGGAACCGAAAGTACGGAAACAAATGACTGAACAAAGGGAGAGATGAGCCGAGCCACACGCTCAGTGGCAAGGACGGCATTGAGCAACACCCAAAAACTGAACTCCGAAATCCAAAAGGAAAAAAACGCCTATATCGTGAGATGCTGTGTTCGTGACCCAACCCAGAGGTGTGAATGCGAGGGATTGCTCCAGCTTCACATCAACAAGCGATGGAGCCATAATCTGAAAAAACCGAAAGTAACGCCAATTTCCGCCGACCGATGCCCATGTAAACCGAGAGACCCAATCTGAGGATCACAATGCGAGATGTGTGCTGAACGAGACGATAGGAGACGATGAGAGAGGACGGAACATCTCGCTGGAGACGACAATGCAAAGACGGCAAGCACGCAAAACTGCGAAGCGGACCTGGATCCGCGACGAGGACTGGTGACGATGAGGCTGAATGCTTCACATGACCATCGATCCGCCTGCGAATCGACGCAAGCATCGAACACGTGCGGTGCTTCTAATTCTCCCAGTCGTTGAAGTTGTCGAGATGTTGCTGGAAATAGACAGGCTTGAACCAGCCGATCTTCTCGTAGGCAGCCCACAGCTTGCTGGCCTTGTTGACATCGATCTTGCAGGCCTGCTGAGCCTTGGTCTTGTTGAAGTCCTCACCCCTGATGAGGGCGCGGACGCGAGCCTGGAAAATGCGGCGCTTGTTGTAAAGGTAGGTTGCGCACGTGAGTCGGAGCGTGGAAGCGACATTAAGCTCGGAGGGGTGGAGTTCACCCCGGTCGGGATCGGCGGATAGGTCAAGGGGCTGACCCTTCCATTCCGCCTTCAAAGCTTTCCTGCCGTCTTCGGGAAGCGTCTCCAGGGGTGGCGCATAGTTCGGGATCTTGTGGAAGTCGACGTCATCTCGCGACGCCTGGACCTTGGGTGCCTTGGGGGTCGGGGGCTTTGCGTCGAATGACTCGAGCAGTGCAGCCTTGGGAGTGCGCTTCGTAACTCGGGGCGCGCGAGGCAGTCTGGGGGCGGCAGGCTTGGTCTTGCGCACGCCGGCGGGAGCGGGGGCCAACGCCCGCAATTGCGCGCGCTGGGTCGACTTCTTGGGGCCGTACATGCTCCAGGTTGCGCGCTCGTTGCGCATCCACTGGACGGGGTTCTTCTGCCACTGGCTGACGGCAATTGACTTGCAGGCGATTGCCAATTGGTACTCCTCGCGGGTCGGTCGGTCGTAGGCATTGGACAGTCTGGATTCGGCAATGTGCTTTGTGATGAGAGCCTCTTGCTCAGGAGTCGTTCCAACGCTAGGGAACAGGGGCGCGGTTGTCGCGCCGATCTTGTCACCGCTCCACGCCGGGAACAGAGGCGGGTCCCTGCTCGTATCCTCCTCCACCGAGCACTGAGAGTCCTCCTTGTGGAGATTGTCGAAGGGCGAAACAGGCGGGGAGGGAGGCAACCCCTTTGCGGAACTCCGGATGTTGCTGCCTAGAGAGTTGACCGTGAGGCGGTTGATGGTGCAGTCGAGCGCGGGCGCGGGCGTCGCGTCCATTGCGCAGTCGGCGGGCGACTTGGAAAAGCTCTCGGAGCGCTTCATCTCTGGCGGCGAGAGCAGGGAAGAGACAGAGAAGCGGGCGTCGGGCTTGGAGGGGGTTGCTGCGGAGTGTTGCGAAGCCATTGTCGCGTGCAAGAGTGGGATTGGGAGGCGAGGCTGAGAATTGGGGGCGTTCGCCGGTTTTAGAGGCAGCCTAGGCTGCAGGGGAAGGTGCTGGAAGGGTTGCGCTGATGTGTCGAGAGTGTTGCGTTGTTCTGGCAGCGGTCGGGCTGGGGTGGCGAGGCGGACAATAGGCTGCTTTATGAATAGATGCGAGTCTGAGCGTAAGACGTGACAAGCGCGGAGCAGCCAATGGCAGTGCACTGGGGGGCGTTGCGCCGGTCAGATTGGCAAACAGGCAGAACTGGAATTTATTGCTTGGGGGCAGTCGGGCGCGCAGTGTGAGGGCAGCTGGCCTAGCGACTGGGACTGCCGGGCGAGAACCGTGGTTCGGAAGTGGTGGGGGGGGACCTTTGGGAGCGCCGTGGGGCGCGGACAAAGGCGTGCTTTATGAACCACGACCAAGAGGGCTGTGTGTCTGGGAACGGGGTAGGTGACTGGAGAGGGCAGATGACTGGTTTCTAATCAGGCGGAGCGCGGGCTCGCACAATGGGACAAAGAGCCTGGTGGGCGGGCGCCGCAAGGGCGGGCTGCGACAAGGCGGCAGATCGCAGGTGTCAGTCGCTGGCAGGGCTGGGTTAGCTCCGAGTATCATCAGGCACACTCGCGCGCTTCTCAGCGGCCTGAGGTGAGCGGCCTGGCCATTCGTCAGCATGATACAGGAAGGCGGGCGAACAGGAGAGAAGCGCCGGAAGTGTGGCAGTGCGTTGGGCGCTGGGCCGGCGCTGATAGGGCGGCCCTGGTGCTGGGACATGCTGCTGGCGGCTTCTGCTCCGCGCAGGTCTGGATACCTGGCGTGCTCTTGCGGGCGGCGTTTGGAGCAGGTGATGGGAGGTTCGCAGTGAGCGCGAATGAGTCAGGCCCAGGGTTCGGCGCCATGCCTATCGCGGCCAAGTGCGAGGGCGCCGCCGGGCAAGTGCTGCGAGTGCTACGCATATCGCGCCTGCTGGAGCTCGCATTTGCGTGCGCAGGTGGGGGGCCAGCAGCCAAGCGCCATTGTTGGCCGTGGTGACGCAGCCAGCCTCGACGAGACGCCCATTGTCCGGCGCTGGCATTGACTCCCGTACACGTGTCGCAGGACAAAGCAAGCAAGCAGGCCAGCGGCGACACGGCGCCCGCCGCGCCCAGTCCGCTGCGCGCAACGTCAATGCCTGCTGCACCCGCTTTGCGTCGGATATCGCGCCGCAGGGCAGCCATTGACGAGCCCACATGGCGCAATGTCTAGCAGCGCGGCCGCCCGACGACCGCCCGGCGGTGGGCAGTCAGTCGACAGTAAGTCCGCAGCGCCCGCCCCCCTCCCCCGGTCGGCGCCGCTATCTCCAATCTCCATGGTCAGCGCAGCTCCAATGGCTGATCTGGTGACACCTCGACCTCCTGCATCCCCGTCCGGCGCCGCCACCAGCCACGCGGCGGCCTGGAGCCTTGGGCCTGGCGCGTCCCTGGCCGAGGCGGCTGCTTGGTCAATTGCATCATAGGCGGTGCGAAGGCTGCCCATCTGACGGCCGCTAGCCAGACCGCTCCGTATCTGGGGGGGGCCGGGGGGTGCTCGTGGACACGGCGGCGGCGCGCATGTGAAAGCGCCTGAGACAGCGCCCGCACCTGACAGCCCGGGCACACCCTCGCGGCGCAATGGAGGGCGGGGTGGTGGTTGAAATGCCATGCTTATCGCTATCGCCTCTATCGATACGCGACCGGGGCTGGCGGACGGCAGCGCTGGCCCGCGAAGCTGTGGAGCGCACAGGACCCTGGGGCCCGGAGCCCCTCGCCGGGCGGCTGAGGTCAGCGCTGTCCAGTCCCTTCCCCAACAGGCCGTCGCAACAACACCGCTGACCCATCGCTCCCATCCATCGGTAGCGCGCGCTTCGCTCAACAGCGACCGCGATAGCCATGTTCCCGCTCGCGCCCGCCCACGACCGACTCCAGCCCACACCGCTGGCGCGCGCATGATCAGAGAGCCCACCAGCGCTACCCGGCAAGCGGCTCCTATCGCGAGGTCATCTACCCGCCGTTCCCCCACACCGCTCATCAGCCCGCGATCCCTGCCCGCCCGCCTGCCTCCTCCGCACCCTCCCACTCCGCTACAGGCAGTCACGCCGCGTCGCTGCCCTTGCAATTGCTGCGCGACGAGCGGCTTGGGCGGCCGCCATGCACGCAATCGATCGACGTGCTCCGGCCCGCCGTCGCATCCCATCTGGCCCAGCGCGAAGCCACCAGCCCGTTGAGGCAGCCGATCCCTTGGATGGGCAGATAAGCTGCCGGTGATAGGCCCCGCCACCCAGCTTGGCCAGCCGCGCTACCTTTGTCTGTCACCCAGAGGCCCTGCAGAGACGATCCATGGGACCCTGCATGCTCACTCCGCGCGTGCTGCGGCTTATTAGGTGGGGTCGCTCTACACCTTCTCTATCACCGGGCGCTCGCGACCGTCGTGCAGATGATCACTCTCAGCTATCATTCGGCAGCGTCGTCGATTCTTCCCGTTCGTCAATTGCGCGCGGCTGCGTCGGCTCCAGCGCCGCCTTTCCCTTGCTGCCGTTTCTGTCCGAATGGGCTGGTCGTGTCTCAAAACTTCCGTCCACTCCGGCTCCTGCCCACCCCCCAACCCTTCTCTGCGCAAGACGCAGTTTCAGACGATGCTCGTGTTGCCTCCGTCGACGAGCTGGATGTGCGGTGCGCGCAGCCGTTCGG